GGAATCCTCATGGGCTTTACATTTCAAAGGGGTTGTCAGCCATAAGCAAAATAAACCCCAAGTAGTAATAAAGTTTTGCTTTCTTTTGCTTTATTTACCTACTATCAGGGTAGTCAGGAAGGGCCTCATTGATGAGGTGACATTTAAACAGATGGGAATGACCAAAAGAGTGTTCCACGAAAAGGAAATATGTGAGCTGAGAACTTTAAAATAAGAGCAAACCCGTTGTGCTTGAGGAGTAGAAAAAAAAAGCCATTGTGATTGAAGTCAGAGGAGAGCAGTGGGAGATGAGATTGAAGAGGTGGTCTGGGATGGCCCGTAAGGCTTCACAGGCCAGCAAAGGAGTCTGGACTCTATTCCAACTACAATCAGAAGACATGGAAGGATTCTAAGAAGAGAAGCAATATGATGTGATTTATGTCACTTTAGCTGTGAAGAATAGGGAAAAGAGTAGAAGCAGGAAAACCATTTAGAACGTTATTACAGGAGACCAGAAGATGATATTTGTATTAGGTGGTGGCAGTGGAGATGGAAAGAGATAGATTTTGGATATATTCTGGAGGTAAAGTTGACCCAAATTCTTCATGAATTGGACATGAGAACTGAGGAAAAGAGAAGAACCATGAGTATCTACATGCTTTTTGGCTTGAGGAACTGGTGTGCAGTGATGACATTTATTTGAAGGGGAAGGCTGCAAGAATGAAGAATTGCATATTACTGTATTATTTCCTTATGCAGCCTTCACCTCACAGACCATGATTTTACTCTTTTCCCAATACCGTTATTTTCCTTCCCTACTTGCGCTGTCATCCTTCTTATCCAAAACAACTACTTCTACTTCCTCTACTCCCTTCCACTCCTTAATCCAATGTAATCTGCTCCTATCCCCCTTATCCCAATAAACTCCTTCTTGCCAAACACAATGACCTCCTTGTCCCGAAATCCAAGTCCTCATTTTCTTGATCTTTCTCTAGCATTTAATACTGTTGACATTTCCTCCCTTGGCTTCTCTGAAATGACTTGTTTCTGGTCCTCCTAATCTCTATGGATAGTCTTCCCCTATAGTGTTTTGTCCTCACTTTTTTTTTTTTTTTGCCTCATCTTTTAAATGCTGGCATTTGAATAGGTTCCAGAGTAGGTCCTCTTCTCCTTTTACTCTATACCTTTTCTCTTGGGGATTCCATCTACTTCCATGAGCTATCACTTATTCTGATGTCCTCAGCGTAGATCTCTCTCGAGTTCTAGACTGTCCCATTCGATTACATATAGACAGCTTCACTTTGATATCCTCATGGACATTTCAAACTCAACACTTAAAATCAAACTACTTACCTTCCCTCCTCAACCTACTGTTCTTCTTGAAGTCCTCATCTTAGCAAATGGTACTATGATCATTCTATTGACCTAAGTCATAAGTCTCCTATTCCTTAATCTTGCAGATACAATCAATAATAAAATTCAGTTGAGTCTGTCTTTAATATTTCCTGAATCCTTTCCTTTTCTCCATTTCCATTCTTGCTGTCTATATTTAAATATCCATCAGTTTTTTCCTATAATACTAAAACAACCTCCTAACTAGTCTCCCTGCTCATAGTGTTAATCACCCTAATAAATTCTCCAAACTGGAGTGAACTTCTTTCTAAAATGGACTTTTGATCACCTCACTATGCTCCTTAAAATTTATCGATGGCCTTAGGATAAGTTGAAACCTCTTAGGAAGGCATGCAAGACCTTTCCCAATATAAGACCTTGTTGATCTCTCTTGGTATGTCCTTTAGAACTTTTGCCACATAATCATACAATGCATTAACTGAGAATCTACCACTTGCTGGGCACTGTTAATCACCTTCAACTATCTGGCCACAACTTTTACCAGGACATTACACATACTACTTCTTTGTCTGGAATACATTTCTCTTTAACTTGCCCAGTTGTCTGGATTACTTCTACATATCCTTCCAGACTCATTTCCAAACTCATCTTCTCTGGTGAGGGACCCTAACTAAACTCAGTCAGGGTTAGGTACCCCTCTAATAAGCTCCCTGTTGATAGAATCTCACCGTTGTGTGATCAACCGTGTACTCATCTGTCCCCTCGTTATCCTATAAGGTCCTTTCAAGCAGGCTGTCCTATTCATTTTTGTATTCCCAGTGCCCAGCACAGTGCCTGGCACATAGTGGGCACTCAGTAACAAATGAATAAAGGGGCAGAGTTGGGTTTCACAGTCAGCTCCTTTCTCTGTGGCACAAATCTCACATTTCCTCATGATACTTCTTAACATCTTCAACCTGTAACATTTGGAAATCTGTGCTACATGTATTTTTGCCTACCACTAACTAAAATATAGACAAATAGATTATGGGGTGCCTGGGTGGCTCAGTCATTAAGCATCTGCCTCTGGCTCAGGTCATGATCCCAGGGTGGGATCGAGCCCTGCATCGGGCTCCCTGCTCAGCGGGAAGCCTGCTTCTCCCTCTCCCAGTCCTCCTGCTTGTGTCTCTCTCTGTCAAATAAATAAATAAAATCTTTAAAAGAAAAAGATTATTAGCTTCATGAGGATTCAATTGATTATTTATTTCTTGTAGAGCTCTTCCTCATCACTCCATGGTTTTGTTCATCAAAGTACTTGGGTTAACTAAATCTAAAGTGACTGAAAGATCGTTCCATACACTTTTTATATTCTTTCTAACTCTTATCCTGTTGCTTCTACAACACCATCAGGGAAGCAGAGAGTAAGTACATTGGGAATAAGGTTGATTTTATTGATTGTCTGGCAACTGGCACTAAAAAATGATGTATCAACAGCAAATCACTTCCCATTATCATTTCCCCCAAGGTCTCTATGGATAGGCATTCAAGTTTCAGTGTTAAAATTTAACATTGCAAAATCCAGCTAAAATTGAAATTTTTATGTAGTGACTTCAATGTGATCACAGAACTTTATAAATGGAAGGAAGCTTGGAGATCTTTAGTCCAGCACTTTCATTAAGCTTCTCTGAGGAAACTGGCGAGGAGACCTGTAATGGCTTGCCCAAGGTCATCCAGTCTAGAGGACAAGTAGGAACAAATTTCCTGTCTTTCAGTCCACTGATCTTTCCTCCTTGCACCCTTTTATTTTCTATCTAAACAAATTATCTACATCAGAACCCACCTAACATTTTACGTAGTGCTTATTTTTATGATATTGCCTTTGTGGTATTCTTGTCATAAAAAGAAAGGACCTTAAAAAAGAAAGCAAGGCTGTCTTGTCCAGGCAGAATTGGTAAAAGAGACAATTAGTACGTAAAGTAATGGGTTCCTATTTGTGAGTAGCCCTGTAATCACGCTCTGCTCTCTGAGCACCCCAATGCTAACCCAAGCTTATTTCTGCTCCCGGGGCCTGGATTCCATTCAATTCCGTGCCTTATTTAGTCTAAATGATTTCCCCAGCTTCAAGTGTATTTTTTGGGCTTCATTTTAGAAATATCATACTTAAATCTACTCTCTACTTGAGTTTGTTTTAGTTCTAACGGTGAGGAATGAGGATTCTGGGTAAAAGAAATAAAGATGATGGATTTTTCTAGGCTTTACATTTTAAGAATGGCTTTCTCAAATGGCAACTGGCAGTCTAATTTATTCCTCAAATGATGACGTTTTCCATGGGAATCAGACTTTAATTGGGATAATTTGTTTTCACGGAAAGCACAGATTTCTTTCCAAGAGGATCAGTTTGATAATGTTTTACCAGCTAGTGCACAGAGACCAAATATAAAACAGTTCTGAGAAACAGGAAGTGAACCTGACTGGTCTAGTCTGCGTGTCCCTGGCAGTGACGCAAATACAGAAATCAAATTAGGAAAACAAGATATGTGGGTGTGAGGCAATCGATAACAATCCAGGATGCTACAAAGCAAGGAAGAACGCCTTTAACCAAATGCCACTCATTTTAATAACACCCTGAGAAGTTTGATTTCCACTGAACATGCTAGTGGTTAGGGAGCAGGATGAGCTTGAGTTCCCTAGCAACAGCTTGTGTTTTTGAGACCGTCATTAGCCTTTCAGTTAATCCCGCCAACCCCTTACTTCTAAATGTATGACTGACATTTAAAAAAGAAAGAAAGAAATGATATTTCAGAAAGTGCTTTGAAATTTCCAGGAGCAAAATGGGAAGGAACTAAAAAAAAAAAAAAAAGTTGTCCTGAGAATTGTTCTCAGGTAAAAGAAGTCATGTTCATATGTGTCCAACCTCCCACATTCACTGCTCTCAGTTCTCTGTTTCTGAATCCCCTGTGGGTAAAGGGCAATGGAGGGGAAATCGTTGAGAGTTTAAGGCAGTCCCCTCCTGCAACATCCATCACAGTCTGAAAGTGGGGTGAATAGTGGGGTGGGCAGTTTGTGTGGGGCAGAGATTGGGGGGTGGGTAAGATGGGAGGGACTATAACACACAGGTTTCTTTCCCCTTTATGCAGAATAAATTATCCTGGTTGAAAGAGCTTAAGGAAGGAGGGTGGCGAGGGGGAATGAAGCTATTTTTCCTATTGATTGTTTAATTGCACCAGAGGCTGTTCGTCGGAGGCCACTGGCCAAGAGCATTATTTTGGTGGCTAAAGTGAGGTTGGGCAGGTTTCCATCCCCCTCCTTAGTTTTAAACAAGACAACCCATAAAGCGCAGCCGGGCTATAGGAATATGGTGTCTGCTGACTTTTTGCTCCTCAGCTGTACCCTAAAGCGCCAAGCCTGATGGGACGATGGTTCTCAAACCCGAATCATTGCTCTAGCTCTGTCCTGGGTTCGGGATGCACAACTCTTCTTTGTAGCCTGGGTCAACGGCGGGGCGTTATTAGAATGGTAATTATTGCTGCGTTTGGCTGGTCATCCCTATTATGGCCTGGGTCTCTTTCGACTAGACACTGGGCTTCTTCAGTTTGGCCGGGTGACTCCTAGTTCTCCCCGCCTCCCCACCTAACCACCCCCCCTGCGCGCTCCCTTCCCAAGGCGACCACCTGCGCCGCCCCACTTACCATCTGCCCCGCGGGGAGGGCCCCTCGCGGTAGCGGTGCCCTCCCTGCTCCCGGGCGGCTCTGGGGGAGCTCGGTGTTTGCCTCCAGCCCTTCGCTACCGGAGAGATCAGGTTCCTCCCCTCCTCCCCCTCCAGCTCCGGCCGCCGCCGCCGCCTCCTTCTTGCATGACACAGCAGAACCGCAGCTGCTGCAGCGAGTCCCAACCATCCGCCCAGGAAGCGCCGCAACCGGGACTCGGGAGGGGCGCAGGGGGGCGAGGCAGGGGCCACCGCCGAGGGGGATTCTTGCCCCCACTCTGCACCGCATACTTGTTTCCCAGCCCAGGGGCTCGGGAACAAAATCGGGCTAAAGCCGACCAGGCCGAGCCGTTGAGGAATGCTGGGGTTTGGCGTCAGAAGGGATGGGACCCGAGAGAAGGGTGCGAAGGAGACCCCAGTAGGGGTAGGACGTTGCAGGTAAAGAAGGGAAAGAAGAGGCCGAGAAGTCAAGGGCCAGACTGTGAAGGAGAATAAAGGAGGTCAAAGAGAGGTAAGGAGGGAGAGTTGCTGAGAAGGGAGACGGAGCTGGGAAGGGAGGGGGGTGGGGGGAGCTGCAGGGCAAGGAGGACTGGGAGGGAGTACTGGGGGAGGCCTGAGCTAAGTACCCAGGCAGCATGGGGGCTGAATTGGGAGGCAAGGGCACAAAAAAGGAAAGGGATGGAAGAATGAGGCATTAGATAGGAAGGTAAAAATTGGGGGCATTAGAAGGGATGTAGTGGAGATCATTCATCATGGCTGATGAGGTAAACTGATGAGGCGGAAAGAGATACAGTCGAGGCAAAGCCAAAGGAAAGGATGATCTTCCATCCCACCCTTTAGTTTCCTGAGAAGTTTTTCATAATTCCGCCAGTACACACAGGGAGTTTTCCTTATAAATGGAAAAGCATGAACTAAAGCATAGAAATAGCTGCGTTGCTTAGCTTTATAGCATAAAATCTCCATGGTGCACAAAAACTTTAAGGCAGAGATTTGGGATTTAAGGCATAAGCACTTATAGGGGTTGTGATTCAGTAATACTGAGGGCACTCAAAACTGGTGTTATAGCTTCCACACAACACTGTACTTGAATAAGTCAGAGTGTTTGCTAAGTATTTCAGTTAAATGCACTGGAAATGATGACAAAATTATTGGCTAAAACGATCCTAAAAATGCACCTGCTCTTCTTCTTTCTCTCTCTACTCACACATACACACATAGATACATATACATCATTTCTAGTGTCTAGCATGTACAGTATGATTAAGGAAAACATGTGTTTTTGTGATTATTTTATTTCCCACCAAAACGCACGCTATGCATTTTACAGCAAACCAGCTGCTTCTCACCATTTGAAAGAATGTGGTCAGAAAAGTAATGCAAAAACTGCCACTTTGGTTTTGTCTGTACCTTCCAGGTCATATCTTCGTACCTCACTTCCTGACACAAACAAGTTTTTACTGTTGTCAGCAACAAAGCCCTAATATAGCTGCGGAAGAGAAAAACTGCATTGCATTTAGCCTCCTGCAAGCATCATCAACAGTTACCGGAGGAATGTAATTCCAGAAAGCTTTAAAGCTGGTGGTGATGGTAATTATGTATCAAATGCCTGGTTCTATTTCTGTTATTATTGTTTTGTCATTTCTGTTCCACCCAAGAGCCGGCTGAACTCGCAGAGAGAAATCCGGTTTTTCTTTTTGACTTTGTAAAAATTCATCAGCCCCGGTAGAAAACTTGCTCTTGGGGAAAATAAAGTAGGAGCCACGAAATGTCATTTTAGCAGAGCGTGGGTTTTGCGACTGTGGGAAAGGATTTAAGGACGCGCCTTCTGTTCGGTTTCCTCTGTAACGAGCAAAGGCTACACGCACGCACAGACGCCACAGCTCCCGGATGCTGTGGCTCCCTTATCTGGGCTTCTGCAGGCTCCAGAAGCCCCTTCGGGATGCTGCGAGGGGCTCCCGGTGGGTGGTGGCAGGAACGCTGCGGCCGCCGCCGCCACTCCAGCCGCTGCCGCTGTTGTTGCTGCTGCAGTCACGTGGGAGCCCCTTTAAGTTTCCATAGAGAGGCCTCTCCGGTGTCACATGATGGACATGATATAATGAAACAACATTGTGGAGAGGAAAGCATTAGGGGAGCCCACGGCTACAAAAACAAGTGAGTGAGAAGAGGTGGGAGGAAGAGAAACTACGCCACCTCCCCTGCAGCCAAGCCGCACGCAGCAGCCTGCGAGAAGTGGGCGACGCCGGGGCGGGGGGGGGGGGGAGGTGGGCAGGGAGACGGGGTCCTCAGCCCCGGCCCGGGGACCCCGCCGCCCACCGCGGAGAGAACAACTTTTCGCCGGCAGCCTCGGCCACCACCGCACCTGTCTCCGGAGCCTCCATCGCTCCTCGTGACGATCAAAGGGAAATTCTAGAAGAATATGCTCTACAAATATACGTGCGCATCATTTTCCTCCTTGCGTCTCGCTCTAGAAGGAAAGAGAAAGGGATTCAAGCGGCAGCGTGCATTCCGCCCCAAGGTAAGTTCTGGAGGGTGGGGAGAGCCGGCCCAGCAGGACTTTGGGGTGGGAATTTTGTTCTCCGTTGAGCCCTGTCGAGATGAACGAGGCGTCCCCTCGCTGCTGGCGAGGCGGATGGGTCGGATGGTCCAGCAGAAACATTTCCACTGTGGACTCTGTTATTTCCTCTTTCGCACGCCCGGCGGACCCACCCTCGGACTCCCCGGGGCCCCGGGCCTCCCCCCGGAAGGGGCCGCAGGTCACGGCCGGGATGTTCGGAAGCCGGGCGAGGGAAGGTAGGGGTTGTGGCGTTGGCCGGGAATGCCGAGGCGATTTCGCCATGTTTGTGTTGCTAAGAGCACTTTTTTCCCCTTTGAGGTGGCTTCATGCCACATGGTTCCTCCGGAGCTGCTGCCGGGTTGAGAGAGAGAGAGAGAGAGAGTGTGTGTGTGTTTTCAATGTCCGCATTCCAGCTAATGTTGCGCAGATAAAATTCAAACTTGAGGTAAACAGAAGAGGAGGAGGAGGAGGGGGGGGGAGGGAGGGGGAGACTGTTTCCATTTCGAGATCCCACCTCTTCACTCCGCCGAGACCAACATCCCGAATCCGGAGAGCACTCGCCGGTTTCTCCCACCTACCCCACCTTTGCTGTCCACGAGAAAGCAGGCGGCGGCGGCGGCGGCGGCGGCGGCGGGGGGGGGGGAGGGGGCGCGGGGGGTCCTCGCGGAGGACGCGGCGTCTGGGTTCTGAAAGGGAAAAACACCCCTGGCACTCAGGCCTTTGGCTACCTCCTTTTCGCCGGGAGGGACGGAGGATGCCTCGGATTGCTCTGGGGCTGGGGAACAGGAGGACAGCGCTCCCGGGAGGGGCGAGGGGGTGCCTGTCCTTCTCAGTCCCTCTTACTTTAGGGGACCGGACTGTCGCGCTCCCACCCCACCCCAGGCGCAGGTTCCTGAAGGCGGGCTGGGTGGGTCTGCAGGTTTCCAGAGGGCTGGTTGCGTAGCAGGTGTGTGGTGGGCATTTCTATTTCGTAAGTCTTGCATTTGGTGGGACGACGTGGATGGGCAGAGCTGCGTCTTAATTTTTTTTTTTTTTGCAAATTAGGGAGAAAAATCAAGACGTTACACCCCACTCCTCCCGTTTTAAATACTGATTCAGCTCGGAGCTAGGCTGAAGGGTGAGTGGGGATGTTTAAGGGTGAGGGTAAGCTTCGTCATGTGGAAAACTAGGCATCTGACAGCTCGTGGCCCCCCCCCCCCCCCCGGCCCCGGACGGAATGCGGGCTGGGTGGTCCGACAGGGGTGGCGCCCCACGGGGTGGGAGCCGGCGCCGGGTCCCTTAGTGCGCGAGGGTCCGCAGCCCTGGTCGGCGGGGACTGCCTGGCCGGGAGGCGGCGGCCACGTGAGGGTGGTCTGCGGAAGCGCTGGAGCCGAGAGATGGGGGTGAGGTGCGTAGCACAGCCGTGCCGGGGGCGGACACGAAACACCCGTGGGCGGCGAGCCGGGCAGAAGCGGAGACTCGCGCGGGCCCGACCCCGGAGCCGTGGCGACGGTTTTATTCCGAGCGGCGGCCGGAGCCGGGCGCCTTCTCCGCTGGGCCGGCGTCCCGGGCGCGGGTGGGTGCGCACTTCCCGGCGCTCTCCCGGGAAACCGTTTCCGGGCGGGGTCCCCGGCCCCGAGCGAGGGCTGTAAACAGGGTGGTGCCCTCTGCCCTCCCGCCCCCGGCCTGCCGGGGCGCGCGGCCGGCGGCGCCCGGAGCGGCGGAGGCGCGGCCGCGGCTCCTGGCAGGGGCGGCGGGGGCGCGCCCGCTCCCGCCGCCCCCGCGCGCCCCCGCCGCCCGGCCGGCCGGCCTGCTCTGTTTTTGTTTTGGTGGAGCCCGCGTGCAGCTGGCGCGTGTCGAGTCACGTGCCGTGGGCGGGAGGGGGCTGGGGCGCGGGAGGCGAGGGCGCGGTGACGCACGCGTCCGGAGGGCCTGGCGCCGCGGGGGCGAGGGGCGAGGGGGCGTGTGCCCCAGGCAGAGCCCGGTCGTGCTGGGCGTCGGGGCCGCATGCGGTGGGGTTCGTGGGGGTTGGTGCTGGGTGCGCCGTGTTCGGACGTGGGTGTGAATCCCGCAGCACTTCGAGTTCGTCGTCACAGCGTCTAGGCGAGCCTCGTCCCACCCGGCGGAAGCGGCCCGGCCTGCGCGGATTCGGTGGAGCAAGACCTTACGGGCGTATTTCTGTGGGCACATATGTATGTGGTTCTTAATCCTGGCTGTCCATCATGTGACACCGGAGAGGCCTCGCTATGGAAACTTAAAGGGGCTCCCACGTGACACGTATGTGGTTCTTAATCCTGGCTGCAAATTATAAACAACTTGCGAGTCATAGAAAGAACTCCGTTGCCTGGCTCAGCCCCAGACCAGTTGAACCCAAATCCAAACAGGGCCTGGACATAGAGTATTTAGGAAAAAAATCTCCCTCTGTATTTTTGACGCGCAGGGAGGGGCGAGAACTTGCAGAGGTAGCCAGCTTGATGGAATCGATGGTTGTGAAACCATCCCTCGTTAGGGATGAACTAGTAAAAATAGCAGACGGAGTTAACACGCATTGATCTGCCACTAGAAGGGTCACTGTGTCGGCATGGTGGCTACGCAGATAGGGATACTTGATGAAATATTGGCATCCCGATTTTACAGGGGGGAAATTGAAATTCGGGAGGAGAAGTAAAAGTTGGCCAGTGACGATCTGTGACCAGTTACCCAGGGAGGCTACCTTCAGACCTCCTGCTTCGGACTGTGGCATATGCTGCACTGGAATTATGACTTTACCAAAGGGCCACATATTTGTGCGAATAGAAATCCTTCTCAGTTTGCCTACCAGCCTGTGAGTTTACCTGCGTGTATTTGTGCATGTACTTTTCCTTGCAAAGTTTTGCTTGTATTGAAGGGAGGAGAATCACTTGGTGAATTCGTTAAGGCCTGTAGGCTGCTAACGTTTACATGAAGTTTATTGTGGGGAGAGGGGGATCCCGGTACTGTGAAGAGAACAGATTCTATGCAAGTTTTTTGTTTTGTTTTTGTTTTGAGACTTGAGTATAGGGGTAAAGTGAAGTGCCCAGAAGTTGCAGGCATCTTCCGAAGATGTACATGAGCAGCCACAGAAGTCTTTCAGGTTCCTACTAATGATTGTTGTCTAGTGTTGTTAGCTGTGTAGCAGGCAGAGGCTATTACCAAGTTTTAGGGATTGGTTTTCACGTAGCTTGCGGTTTGGGTGAGGAAAGTTTATAGACCCACGGAGGCGAGCCTGACACAGATGTGAGTGCTGTAGGTCTGGCATGGAAATCTTCTCCCTCCTCTGTCATCCCCATCTTTCTTAATCGGGCATTGCCACTTTTGTCGAGCATTGCCTAACCACTTGGGGTTCCTTTGCACAGCTCTGCCTACGTGGTTCCTCTGCTTCTTGAGTTTCTTCTTTAGGAAATTTCCCTCGGTTTCCCCTCAGCAAACACTTAAATACCCTCCCTGTGTCACCGCTCTGTTTTGTACTTACTTGCGTCACTGCATTTATTACAACATGTCGTGTCGTTTTTGTTCACATGTTGGTTGGACACTCTTAGTAAATTCAGCTTGTCAAAGGTGGGAGGGGTGATTGTTCACCTGTATATCACTGGAACCCAGTAGGCACTTAAGTTTGCTGCATCGGTCTGAATTGAATTCGTGTCGTGTTATATGTGGTGTTCGCCTGTGTCACCCGCTTTCATTCTTTACTGTCTTCACCTTCTCTGCTCCTAGCTTTTAGGCTCGAAGCACGCATCCTTGGACAGAGAATAGAGCCACATTGTAAGAGGAATAGGAAGGAAAGGGCAAAATGTAATCAACTTTTCCCTTGTTTCCCAGTTTCATTCCCAGTTGGCCAGTTGGACGGCGTGAATTTTCTTGGTTACTTCTGTACCCTGGCACAGATGCTCCACATTATCACTTTTCAGCTTGTTTAGGAAGGAAGAAGCGACATTGCATTACAGATGGACATACTTTACACGCCGTCGCAGAGTACAGATGCTTAATCACATTTCATTACACTGTGATTTTCAGATTTAGCGTTACAGGGTATTTGTTGAGCAGCACTGTCCTGCAGAGCTTTCTGAGATGATGGAAATGATTTATAACGACTTGAAGTGATAGCCACTAGCCACTTGGGCAGCTTAAGTGTGGCTAGTGTGGCCTAGGACCTGGTTATTTACTTGATTTCAGTGTAAATAGCCACCACTGGCAAGGGGTGCTGTGTTGGACAGCACAGTTACGGAGGATCGCTTGTGGTTAAGTCTAGTACTTGCCAGGTAAGTGTTTAGGTTAAGGTTATTCTGCCTTTAAAAGAAAAACCTTGATTCATTTTCTAGGGCCTGACACTGTGCTTCCCATTTAGAGATTCTAAGGTGTTTACTGAGTGATATTTTGGACCCATGTGAGGCCTTCATATTATAGAGCATTTGTCTGTGTGTTCTGTGAACTTTTCATGTAATTCATGAGGTCTTCTTTTTTTTTTTTAGAAGCAGAATGGATTGATTATTAATAATTATAATTAGGAGTAGTTATAAGTCCAATGGATTTGAGCCCTTGGCCTGTAAACTAAATGGAAGTCCCTTAAGTTTAATCACTATTCTCTGATACATGGTGAAGAGCAGGCTCTGCATTTGTCTTGCTGGCCAGTGTATCCCCAGTGCCTCATACAATGCCTGACACATAGCAAGTGCTTATAATTATTTGTTGAATGAATGCATGTTCAAGTAATTTAACCCCTCTAACTTAGCTTCAGAAGGTATATTGTAGAGCTGGAGAGGGGGCCGAGTAGCACTAACTACCCTGAATTTACTGTTCTTCCAAGGAATGCAGTCTTTCCAGGGGCACTGTTCTTAGCTCAGTGAGCTTGATTTCTTCCCTGTAAGATACGTAGCAGGACTTCTTACCCTTTATTAATAACAGAAAAATAAAGTCACAAGAAGATTTGGGGCTCAGGTCACAGAACGGGAATTGGAAGTGTAAATCAAATTGAAGGAGTTACTTATATTGCCTTGTGCCCTTGTCCAGGATTCTTCTTCAAAGAACTAAAATCACGCACTGAGCTATGTTAGAAAATTTGGTTTATAAAATGGAAGGTGATTATGTATGTTAATAGAGTCTGAAGAGAATTCTGAAAATATATCTAGTATGGCATGATGTAACAGGAAAAACAGGAATGGAAACATAATTTCTTAAATCTCTAAATCTCAGTCTGTGGCAATCCTAACACCCAAGTTATAAATTTCTGAAATGGGATACTTAAAAATGTAAATAGAAACAGATGTGTAGTGGTGCAGATAACCACTACTAGACTTCGAAATATTTATGTAGAAAGGTACCATATACATCAAACATCTGTTCAGAAGGAGAGCCCTAAGGCCAGAAATTGTAGATTTCATTTCATGTGGTAGGTGCTGTATTGGTGGGTTGATGCGGAGCCCGGTATGTGGTTGGATGCTTGTGGAAGGCGGTGAGGCTGCTCTCTGCTTTGCATCACTCACCTGCCTCGTGGTGTGATGCGTGGCTGGATTACAGACAGGCTTGTCCTCATGCCTGGGACGCAGGCTAGCTTCCTGTCGTTCTGCTAGTATGTGTTTCACACTAGCAAAAGGAAAACATAATTGAAAACGTCAATCTGTTGTTTAAAAAAAAAAAAATCACATGATACATTCCAAGATAAAATGTAAAGTTTCTTGTTTGGGGGTGGGGTGGGGAGGGTTACTTTCTCTTTTGGCAATTTCTGGCCTCTTAATCCTTTAGGATTGCTCTTCACATGTTGTGAACGTTGGTGGTGGTGGTGGTGGTGGGAGGAAACCCCAAAACTGTCAACCGCATGTCCCATAAATTCCCGCTGTTTACCCTCAAAACCGAACCAAAATATGACCCTAACAAGACAAAACCCACCTCTGCTGTCGGCAACAAAAGTTAACAATTAAATAAAAAAATCTGGGAGATTTGAGTTGTGCAGACGTCAGTAATGTGAAAGGTTTTTTTTAGGTATTAACTATAAATTACTCAAGACAAAAGAATTTATATGTGTCTGTGTAGCAATAATGTAAGAGTTCATATTGCAGAAGATCAAATGTATTTGGCTAGAAGATCATGTGAGACTCCTTGGACTCAGATGTATAGTTAAAGAATCATTTTAGGTGTATTGAGAACTGTCTCTAGTGATGTTGGTCCCTAACTTGGTGTAAGAATTGAAGGAAGTTACTGGCTCCATTTCTTTCTCCTCAGTGGAGTGGGTGGATCAGATCAGTGAGTGGTCGCGTAGGATCACCGAGATTGCCGGACCCCACCCCAGAGTTTCTGACTCAGCGGGTCTAGGGTGGGCCTGATGATCTGCATTTTTTTTGCAGGTTTCTAGGAGTTGCTGAAGCTGGTCAGAGGACCATATTTTGAGAACCACTGGATCAGATCATTTCTCCTAAAGTTTTATAAAGTGTTTGTGCCCATTTTCCCCCTTTTGCAGTGGCAGCACCTACCCTTTGATTTCTACAACCTCGCGTCACTTAAAGATTGCCCTATGGCAAACTGAGTTGTAAAAGTTTAAAATGGAATTGAATTAATTGTATTTT